TGTCCTGAAATTAATCTGAGCTTGGGTGTTTCCTTAGCCCCCTAACCTGCCCTGAAAGGAACCCAACTGGCTGACTGTTTCTGAAACATTCCTTCTTTCACATCCTGTTCTGGAGCCAAAAACATCTTTGGGATGAACCCTGAGAATTATTCCCACCTGCTGCTCCCACTTTTTTTTTTTTTTTGGATGGGACCAACCACAGAAACAGGCCACTGAAGGCTGCTGGTATGAAGGGATCTGCTAAAGCACACCTTGGGATTTTTAGCAGCTGATGTGTGGGAACCACCCCGTCCCACCAATTCAGCTCCTCTTCAGGAGCCCAGAAGCCACATTAGCTTGGCACTGGCCCCGTTTCTTCGCAGAATTTACTGGTTGTGTGCTCTCCCTGGCCTGCACAGATCCACACCCACGTCAGATCTGGCTTGGAAAACGGGATGGAGTCTGCAAAACATCCCCCAGACCTTCCTGCTGTGCCTGGCATCAGAGAAGACATGAAATCACTGCCAGAGGACAGAACAGGGTCAGTCATCCCTGGGGTGTGTGGTGGGGATGCTGCTGAGGAAGGTTTGCCCCAACCAGGAGGGGTTTTATGGCCCTGCCCTGCCTGGGAGAGAGATCAGGGGACTCCACAGAGCATTTCTTAGCTTTGGTGGCTCTCTGTTCAGTCTCACTGCAAAAAGACATCCTGATGAGCACCAACACAGCAGCAGCAGTGGGCCCAGTGGCCCCCTTTCAAGCGGCTATTGATTGGTCTTTTCATTAATTACAGTGACATAAGTCATCATTCCCGTGCAGAATAATGACTAAGGCATCCCACAGAAGCTTTCGGACACAGAGGAAATTAGCTCCTGTGTCCACAGATAAATATCTTCCAGGAAGGATGGTGTAAATCCTGTGAGGACAATGGCTGAACCAAAGATAAAGTGGGTCTGGAGAGGCATTAGGTGCACGACCCTTAAAAAATAAAAAAATACGACAGCTTATCCCCAAATCTATAAGCCACAAAGAACAGATAAGCAGAGAGACAGAGAAAGGCAGAGATAGGCAGCAAAAAGAAAAAAAGTAGATTGACTTGAGGAATTTGATGGGAAACTGTACCAGAAAAAACATGAATGACATTGAATCACAGAGAACTGGCCAAAAGACCACTGTAAACACACAACTGTAGCTGCTGTTGGGTGTGTTTATGCAGAAAGTTGCAAGCAGTGGGCACTGATGTGGGTACATTTATCTCCTAATTCCTTCTGGCTGGGGGCATGAGGTTGTTAATATATTGAATTTCCGTAGCAGGTTTAGATTGGTGCCTGTGCATATGAAAGCGAAGCTAATTAAATAATCACAGTGAATAATGCCTTCATTTAATTTAGCTTTTTCTGCTTCCTAAACATCCACAAACAGCTCATGGGCTCATCTGGTGTGTTCACTGGAGCCTGGACTTTGCTACCTTTTATTGAGCAGTGCTTTCCACCATCCACAGCCCGAAGAGCAGGAGCACATTCCCAGAAGGAACCATTCCCAGAGGAAGGGCAATCCCAATCCCTTCCTGTCTCAGTGGAGTTATCACCTTCCTAGTCACTCTCTGTGCTCTGACAACCCAGCCCTGTTCCACCCCATCAGGACACCTGCACAGAGATTATTTCACACAAGGTTTTGGGGCAAACTCCTCTTGGGTGGTTTATGTGATCAACAGAGATGAAAGAACAGGTCCTCAAAGGGAGGACAAGGCTCCTGTCTCTCCTCAGAAGTGGCAGAGGAAGCCCAGAGAAATTAAACTCAGCTAAAATTAGCCTTGGTGAATATCCCTGATGGTCTCAATCTTCCTCCCTGCCTGTGTGAGCACACAAATGTGGAATAAACACTGACTGAATACATTTGAAATTCATTTTAAAGGCTCCTGACATTAAAATATTCATTTTTTGGTAGTAATCCCTTCAAGAGAGCTCAAACAGTGGTGGTGGAGTTGGCCACCAACAGAGACTGTTTTCTGGGATGGTTTTCTCCATTCCCAGACAGGTTTTGGCTTTTCTCCAGCTCTCCAGGTATTCACACCCCCTCCTCTACTGCCTGGTTTTGTGATCCACCTATAAAATCACTGCCACTAGAAAATCTGCATTTTCTGACAGAAGTGACAACAATAATCACAGCTATTTCCACTGCTAAGTACAGGGCAGAATTCCTGTGTCTCAGGTACTATTTCATGAGAACTGTTGGCATGGATGAATTTGTGACAACCAATCTGTGGAGTGCGTGCTGGGCTCCTCTTAACATCCAACAGCTCTTTTTTCCCTTATTTTTGGTGGATTTTTTTTTTCACCCTTTAAAAAAAACCTGGTTTTGCAACACTGAACCATACTTCTTGCCTCTGCTAAAGGAAACACAACGTTTCTTTAGACCATCTCCTCAGGTCCAAACATTTCCAAGGCCATTTACTCATTCTGATTTTCTTCAGATCTACCTTCCAACACGGTTCCCAAGCCCAGGCCAGAAGCAGAGAACTAAAGGGAAAGGGGCACCAGGGCTCTCAAAAGTGCTCCCACACTCTCAGCAGGGGCACTTGGGAAGGGAGAACAAAACCATTGAGCACAGAAAAGGCTTAAAAGTGCTGCACACACACACACGGACACGAAAGAAGGGGGGGAAAAGAGAAAAGAAAGAAAAAAAACAAAGAACATCAGAAAAATGACTTTTTTGGTTTTGTTTTTTTTTTTGTTTTCTTTGTTTGTTTTGTTGCCTTGCAGGTTTTGTTTTTAAAGCCCAACTCTGAGTGTGATCAATAACCAGCTGCTGTGTATTAAATAAGGTCACTCCGTGTGCAGTTTGGATTAGAGAGGGAGGGACTGAGAGGCAGCAACTCACTGCTTTGCTAATCCAATAAACCATTTACTGCAGCGCTGACTTTCAAGTGGAATTACCCTGCTCCAGACCTTGCAGCCAGGGTGTTGTTTTGAGTTCTCTCTTTGTCAAGAAGGCATCATCCAGAATGAAGCACTTGATTGTTAGCAGCTGCTCGAAGCAATGCACCAAGGTCACTTCTTTGCATATTTTTCAACCCAGCAGCAGCTGGTATCTCTGATTATCCAAATCTCCTCTTTTATGGCCATGGCACTGCTCAGGCACCAAAATTCCCCTTTGCTGCACCCAGGGACCCCAAGGCTTGGTTGCATCAACACTGCTGATAAACCATGAGCCTGAACAGGTCCCTGTGTTTCTCACAAAATTGTTAAGGTTGGAAAAGACCTCCAAGATCGAGTCCAAACTTTTGATCAAAACCCTCCATGGCCACTAAACTCTATCACAAAGTTCCAGGTCCACTTGTTTCTGGAGCACTTCCAGGGATGGTGACTCCACCACTTCCCCAGGCAGCCTGTTCCAAAGCCTGGTCATCCTTTCGGGGATTAAATTTTTCCAAATATCCAACCTGGACCTCCCCTGGTGCAGCTTGAGGCCATTTCCCCTTGTCCTGTCACTTGTTACCTGGTAGAGACTGACCCTCACCTCACCACACCACTCCCTGTTTCAGGGAGCTGTGATGAGGTCTCACCTGAGCCTCCTTTTCTCCAGTCTAAGCCTTCCCTGATGCTCCAGACCCTTCCCCAGCTCTGTTCCCTTCTCTGGACATGCTCCAGCCCCTCAAGGTCTTTCCTGGAGTGAGGGGCCCAAAACTGAAGACAGGATTTGAGGTGCTGGATAAGAATTTGCCTCTACCCTGGGTTTTGCCTCCACCACTCAATTAAAAAACAGCGTCAGGAATATTGAAGCTCATCCATATTATCCACCCCTGCCCTCTGAGACTCAGTGGAGACTCTTTCTCCCTCCACTTGGACAGAGGATATATCCATGCATCCTGTGCTTTCTCCACCAGCCTCCAAAGGTTTCAAACTCTGCCTCCATGCAGAGGAACGAGAACAGCTTTTGCTCTCCTCATTCCTTTGTGAAGAACTTCTTCCCTCCAGAAATCAGCTGTTACCCACAGTGATAAAACATATTCCTGCAGTGGACAACTGGGAGCAGAGATCCCTGCTTTTCCCAGCAGAAGGTATGGACAGAGCTTCTCTGACTGCAACAAGGAGCCAAAAAGGCAGGGGAAAGCAACACATATCTGACCTGGTTATCTGAGGAGACTCGGAGTGTCAGCCTGCCATTTCTGTCCCTTGCTCAGGGATAAAATCTGAGCAGACTGCAGGTTTGTTCCTGGAAATGGAGAGGAGAGTGATTCTCATCCTGCTGGGGATGCTGGCAGTGGCAAAATAGCCTCTGCCAAAAGTTTGGGAGTAACCCAAGAGAGAGCCCTGCCTGGGAGCTGCTGCCCTGGGCAAAGCCCTGGGAGACACCAGGGTGGGCAGAAATGGGGAGTCAACTCTTGGATTTGTACTCCAAAGGAAACCAGGTAACAAAAATCCTCTGTATTCAGGAATGGAGTGTGTAGAGAAGATAAAGAACCTCAGGTGGCAGCAGAATTTTTTCTCGCAGCAGAGGTTCTTAACTCACCTCTCCTACTGCATCCATCTGCTGCTCTGCTCTCTGCCAGACCTCCAGAACCCATTCCCTTCCATCACACACCTCTGCTGTCCCTGAGAGCCCTGCCAACCCTCAGACACAACCCCTCTGTCACCCAGCTCGTGCCACACTCAGCAGTGCTGAGTCTCTCTCTGCTGTCTCCAGGAGTTACTGACAAGAGCCACTTTGCTCTCCCTCATTTCTGGGAGGATACATGAGCCTTGGCTGAAGCCATTTTAACAAAGAGATGAACTTCTATCCTTCCTCCACAGCAACACAGGACTGCTTCTTGGATTTTTGTGTCCTGCTGCACTGAATGACAGTGCAAAGGCATTAAATCAAGTGTGGTTTTTTTCTTTCATTTTGTTAAAATATGGTTTTGCTTTATTTTTGTCTGCATCCTCAATCTCTTTTTTCACCCCTTGCCTGGTTATTGATCACAACCTTGGGTATTTCTTGGTTTTTATTTTCACTCTTTACTTAGATGTATTGATAAGGCATACCCTGCCCGTTCCTTCAGTTTCTTATCTGTTATTCCATCTTTGGATACAAGTTTGTTAAAAACCAGAATGCCAATAACCATGTTCACCTGTCAAAAGAGAAACAACACACAAGTTTTGTTCTCAGGAGGGTCAGGTCAAGCTCAGTAACACAGAAGGGTTTCTCCCAAAGCTAGGTCACACCTCTGCAGGCCACCACCCCTTGTGTCCCCCACTGTCCCACCTCCCCTGGCCGTGCATCAGCGAGTGCAGGACAGCAGAATGCAGCTGGCAGCAGATCAGGGAGGTTGGAGAATCATTAAGACTGGAAAAGACCCCCCAAGATCATCAAGTCCAACCCTCAGCCAGGTCTCCATGAAGCAGGAGAGACTGGGAATTTCCCAGATTGCTGCAGAGCTGCTCGAACCCAAGCACTGCCTGAGGTCCAGCAAGGCAAACACCAGGCACAGCAACAATTTTTTGGGCTAATCCAAACAGAGAGTGACCAGTACAGAGAAGAGCAGTGGGCTGGCACTGGCTGCTTCCCAAAACACCTTCTGGAGTCAGAAGCAGCATTAAGAGAATGCAGACAATGTGTCACAGATCTTTCCTGGTGAAACGCCACTACTGCTCTCAAAATAAGAGGTAGAGGGGCACTGGAGCAAGCAGAAACGTCATCTGCTCTGGTGGGATGTCTTGGGAGATACTGAAGATGGCACAGCATGGAGAATTCCCCCAAAAAATTAGTAGGTGTTACAATTCCATGCAGTCCATTTTCCTTAGGGTGAGAGCAGGGATGTCTGTGTCCATGAGAAACAAAAATCCACAGTGAAACACAGTCTGGACAGAGCTGAGATCCTGCAGAGTGACCCCAAACTCCTCCCTGTGCCTTTCCAACTGCATCCACTGCTGCCAGCTGCATCTGCTTTACAAACCCCATCCCCAACACATTAGTGACACACCAGCCCCACCCCTGCGTGGAGGAGGTCATGATGGTGGAAAAAGGAGACATTCTCCTGGTTTTTCTGCCAGTGGAACAGCTGCTGGTGGTAGAAATGTGTGGTCAATGCTGTTTTGCATGTGGGGTTTGCAGGGAAATGTTTTAAGGCCAAATTCAGAGATAAATTCATGTGACTTCAGGTGTTTTTGATTTTAAGAGATCCAAAGAATCACCTGACTCAAGGAAAAGGACCAAGCCTCTGCCTAATTGCCTAAATCACCCTCAAAACACTGATCAATCTTTCTGCTGGTTTCACCAGCTCACTGATGTGGAGCCCACAGCTGGGAATCCACAGAAAATCTCAGAAATTGCAGTTCTTTTTGTGCGCATCAGCTGCTGGGTCAGTGGACAGCTGAGACCACTTCTAGAGTTCACCATGGTATTGATTCAGAGAAACAGCACTGGCAAGTCAGGCACAGTGACACAGCCAAAGATCAGCAGGAAATCAAAGTCTGGTTGTGAGTCTGGAAAGAGAGGGAGCACTTTGAAAGGATCACTGATCCTTCACTGCGGAGGATCAAGGAAAGTTTTTCCTTCAGGTGCAGCCAGGTAGGAGGAAAGGTGGGGTTGAAGTGTGGCTGGACCTCTCCTAGGGCTGGCCAAAGTGTGCATCCTCACTCCTAAGGAGCAGGGGAGACAACAAAGAGCAGTTCTGCACTGGTTTTAATCAATCAATCAATCAGTCAATCAATCAATCAATCCAGTACATTGATCAACACCCTCTCTGATCTTGGCTCCACTTTTTTCCTAAGCCAGGGATACCACAGGGATATTCTTCCAATAACATGCAGAGTAGCTTTACTTCTTCATCTTTGCGACAACTTCCAGAAGCAAAGCCTCAAGTCTGAAATTCCTGGAGACAACCACGACCTGACCACTGCTGACCCTGTCCTCACTTTGTTCCATGAGCCTCCCCCTGCCTTCAGCCTGCACACAACTATCATGAGGCTGCTCCACATCAGCTGGGCGAGCAGAACTGCTTCCAACAGCTCTGTGCTCAAGGTAGATCAGGATTTTTAAGAATAAAGGTCAAACCTTTATCCTTCAAAGCTGCAGCTGTTCAGTGTCAGTGGCCTGACTGTGAGTTATGAAGATTGCTGAAGCTGCAGGCCAACCACCTTCAGAGTGTTATGAACTTTTTGAGCTCATCTGTTTGCAGGTTCCCATTTATAAAAAGGCTTTCCATGCCTCTCCTTCTTCCCCAAGCTCTTTGGTGTCTCTACCAGGGCAATATTAATTTGTCACTTTGGCCAGGAATGAGTCAGGGAGTCTAAATGAGGCGTGTGGCCTCTCCCTTGGTGCTGATCAGGGCCAGACACCCCCAGAGATGATTCACCACTGCCAAATATCAGCTGCAGGAACCACCATTTGCATGTGCTGACCCCTCTGTGAGGACATCCCATTTCCACTGCTTGATGGTGAGGGAAATCTGAGCTGCCAAATGGAAGCAGGCTCCTGTGTTTTCCTCACACTTTAAAAGAGGAAAAATAGAAAGATCACCTCCCTTGCTGTTGGCACAACAAAAGCGAGGTGGTTTGAGGCAGCAGAGTGACTCTGGGCACTACCAAAGCTTCCTCCCTCCAAATCACTGTGTCACAACCCCACATGAAAGACCTCAGCTCATACCAGTTTTGATTTCTTGCAGAGGAGGGGCCGCTGTTGGCTTTTCTCTTTGTCACTGTGATGAAATGATGGCAACAAGGTGGTTTGATGTGCAGTGACAGCGCTGAGAATAGAGTCAGCAGGAGCTTTTTGTGGAGTTATTCTCCTGTAAGCTCCTGCTGCGGGGCATTTCATCCCCCAGGCACTGCACGAAACAAAAGCCTGAACTGAAAAAGGAATTGTGAGTATCAACAAGCCCATTCCTGTGGGGCTCTCCAGAGCCTCAGAGGGCATAAAGCTCCTCCACTGGATAAAACAGGGGGCTGGAGAGAAACTGCAGAAAGATGTGAGGGCTCAAACATGGCTTTAAACCCATCAGAAATTGCTGCAGGAGGGATTTCCTGGAGGAGCAGCAGTTCTCAGATTCTTTCAGCCCTGAGGCTTCTCATGGGCAGTGAGGCCTCAGCAGCAGCGAAGGAATGTCACCTCCAATGACACCTTAAATTCACTTTATAACTGGGCAATGTTGGTGTTGGGGCTGTGTGGGAGCCAGGGGTGATGGGGCAGAAGAATGGACTCCCCATGCAGGAGCTGGAGTTTAGGAATGCCCACTTTAACCCTGCCATCTCTTGAATTCAAAGCAAACGTGACATTTTTAGGGTCAGAAAGGATCCCCTCAGCATTGATTTGAAGATTTCAGTTTCACCTGCAGACAAGGAAATCTGCTCACATGCACTGGCCTGGGATGGACCAGGAATAAAAGCTGGTCTGAAAAGCACCAGGAACAGCATTTTCTGAAGGAGACAATGTCAGAGTTTTCCACCATCATCCTGCACTTCCATCCAGACACAGCAAAACCAAGGCAAAGCATTAATCAGATGTTAGGGGGCTCCAGTGAAGACAGAGGGGAAGGCTGAGAGCTGAGGCACATTACATTTCAGAACCAACCCCATCCCAAAGTGTTGGCTTTGCTCGTTATTCCTGAAGGAGGAAGCTCTTCGAAACACAAATGGAAATAAAGAGGGGCATTCTTGGTTTGAGAGAACAAGGAAATTACTATAAGTCATAGAGGAGAAAAAAAGAAATCTTTCAGACAAGCTTAAATACCAAAACGACAGCAGCCGCCGGTCCCACGAAGGCATAGAGGAGTCCTCCCTCTAATGACAGCCAGCAGCTGGAAAATGAAGAGAAGAGAAAGTGACCCAGTGGCAAATGTCCCCAACAGGCACATGTTGGCTTCTTCCCTCTGCCTGCCAGAGTTCAGCCTGGGAGGTGACACCCCACAGCAAAAAATAATAAAAAAAAAAATTCTCAGACTTTAAATCAAACAAGTTTTGCTTCCCATCTCTCCTGAACTTGCATAAAGGCTCCTCTGCCTGGGGAGCTGCCCGCAGGATGACATCTGACAGGGGAATTAATTCCAAATTAAGGAGAGTGCTCTGTTTCAGACCAGGTCCTGGAAGCAGCTGCAGCATTTGGCTGGCAGGATGATGCTCTTGTCCTACTTACGTGGGAGAAAGAGGGCAAAGAGTGGAAATTTTCCTCTGCTCATTTGCTGATCCCTGTGTGTTCCAGGGGTGCAGGACATTTCTTCACTCTCTTTGAGATTGGTTCCATGGGGAAATTTAACAACACAGCAGCAAGGTGGGAATTCACAGCATCCCCTGAGTGGAATTTCTTATGGAATGAGCTGAATGTGAAGTGTGTGGTGCTTTTTCTGGAAACCAGCTCATTCCTTCTCCCTCACACCACATAACCTGAGAAGGACATCTCCCTTCTGCACTGAGCAGATGTGGAATTTGGGCTCCTGAACTGCCTGGTGCCTTCTCAAACTGAGGGAGCTCTCGTTTGAGACCTCTTGGTTGAGGCCCTGGAAGTGTCCAAGGCCAGGTTGGATGGGGCTTGGAGCAACCTGGGATAGTGGAAAGTGTCCCTGCCAGGGTAGGTGTGGAATGAGATGACTTTGAAATTACCTTTAGTAATTTTCTGAGTTTTTGTTTTTCATGTTTTACTGTGAAGCCAGGAAGGAAACACTTTTCCCCCTTTCACTTGTGAAATCCCCATCACTGGAGACATTCAAAAGCCACCTGGGCACAGCCCTGGGTCACCTCCAGGTGACCCTGCTTGAGCAGGGGCTTGGACAAAAAAAAACCCTCAGGCTCTGTGACAGCCATGAACATCCACAGCAGCACTGGAGCTGAAATTCCCTTTTTTTTTTTTTTTTTTTGGGGGGGAATCCAGCAATTTAGGGCATGGACACACAAATTAAATGCTGCAGGGCAGGAGAGGATGGGAATTTACAGTGTGTCAGCAGCCCCTGGGAAAGTTTGCACGCTTTAACAGGGCAGAACTCTGGAGAAAATGTGGGATGGAGTAATCCTGTTTCAGCACGAAACGAGCGTGCACTCACCACAGGAGAAGAGCAGGAAACTACAATCGAGAGGGAACTTTCTCCAAGCTCTTAACTCAGCTCAGCCTGCAGTAATTCACTTGCCCTGCCCTCAGCAAGATGCTTTCATCCTGCATCAGGACTGAACTGATGCTCCCAGGGGAAAAAAAAAAAAATCTTCCTTGAAACATTTCAGCTTTGTTGACCAGCCTCATTTTTTTTTTTAGATTAAATCTCAGTTGCAAAAAAATATTAATTTTTTTTCACCCCAAAACAAGGAACATTTTTGAAAAGGCAGCCCAAAAAAATGCAAGTATTTCAAACTGAGAATTAAAAGTAGGATATTCTACTTTTTTCCAAATCTTGAATCTTAATAAACAAGATTTCTGAATCTTGTTTATGTCTAAATTAAACCTGTAATGTGCTAATTTAATCAGTTCTGATTTCTTCCTGATAGCAAGTTGCTCTGTCACAAGCTGTCTGAGCAACTGTAATAATAAAATGAATAATCAGCTGAGGAGGGAGGAAGTAAAAATGAAGCTCTGGAACTCTGTAATGACTGGAGGTCCCCCTAAATGCAAGAGGAGGGCTCCCAAATCCCAGTCCTTGTCCAAACCTTTTCATCCAACGCTCTATCCTGATTTTTGAGATGTTTTTTCTCAGCGTCTCTTCCAACTGGTGGCTCAGATGAAGAAATCTGACAGCCCTGCACTGCAATTAGTGATGAGGACTTGGTGCAAAGAGGGTTCTCATTCCTGCAGGGTCCCTGGCAGCCCCTGCTCCCCCAGGAGCATAAGGAATTGTGAAGGTGAGCTCACACATCAGCAAGCACCAGCCCTGATCCCTCCTGACTGCCTGACCTCCCTGCCACAGCACTTCATCAAAGCATTTCTGAGGCTGTCAGAGGTGCTGGCTGCCAGCACAGGAAAGGAAAGGGTGAAGGGATATCCAAGAGACAGAACTGACAGCAAACCCCAGCCTAGTGGAAATGCTTTAGCCTCGTGCCTACGAGGCACAGAAATATTTGCATTTTGCTAAGAGGTTCCCTTGTACTTTCCAAGGGATCTCTTCAGTGATTTTTAAAATAAAATTATCACTGGAAGGGAGGAAATGAATGGTTTAACAACTCCTGAGCAGTGTTTCCTTGACTGACAGCAGCTCTCCTGTTCAGCACAAAAAAACCCCCTTTTTTGCAAACCATCTGATCTTTTTGTGACTCTGCCACGGCACAGATGGGAGGTGGTGGCTTTTGTCCTGGGCCTGGGAAGGGCTGGCTTCCACTGAGCCCTTTTTCACACTGTCCAGCCCTGTGCTCTCACCTCAAACCTGTGTAAGATGAGACAGCACCAACAGAACACTTTGTAAAACTGAGATTACAGTCGGGAATCAGGGCTGGCCCACCAGTGTTTATCCAGAGTTTATCCAGGAGCTGCTGAGATACCTGTGAGTCACAAAAGCCCTGATGCAGTGACACTCCAGGACCCTGAGAAATTTGCTGTGTGCAGGCTGTGCTCTCAGAAAACTTCTGATGAGCTCTCTTGTGGGGAAGGATGTGAGCTCCCAGCACCAGTGGCACAACCTCAATTCATCACTTCAAGCTTTAGGAGGTTGTTTGTGAAGCTTTAGAGGTCCAGAGGCAGTCCCTGGAGCACCAGCTAAAAGCAGAGTTATTATTCAGGCACTCAGCCTAATCTAAGGAGGTGATCAGTGGCAGGTCCTTTAGACCTCTGGTACCCCTCAGACTTTCTTTGAGACTGGAAATGCAGCCTCTACCCTGCCCCAGCACGCTCCAAACAACAGCAAAATGTCCTTTCAAATGCAGTTCAGACAAGAGAAAGGAAAAAAAGGAAAAACCCCCTTGTTGGAGAGTCCTGAGTAATGAAGGTTGAGTGAATGGCTGCTGGGAATCACCACTCACAGAACAACAGACACACTCCATATCCTGCAGCACATATTCAATTTTTAATCTGAACCTCTCTCTCCCTCCTCAACCCATGACTCAGTGCAGTCTGTCCAGCTAAATGGTAAATTTTTAACATACTACAAGCTCCCTAAACTTACCACAGGCTCTGATCTCTGTGCATTAGAGTTTGGAGACACAGCCAAGCCTATGATGGGACAATTCTTGGTGGCACAGAGCCCTGTCCTGCCCCTTAGTTGTGTTTTCATTGTTAGAGAAAAGCTTCATCCCATGTACAGTAAAAAAACCAGGACCAAACTGGGTAAAATCCTGCTGAGGACTCCTGATGGAGTTTGTTCCAGTGTGGCTGGGCCACCTTCGGCACATCCTGAAGATCCAGCTGGGCTGGCAGATCCAGCCTCAACACACATCACACATTTCGCACCCTGCCCCTTCCACCAGCTCTGCCCCAAAAGTCTTTAACACCAAGATTAATTCTGCAAGGCCTTCAACACTTGCAGCTGTCCCCAGAATGCCCTCGTGACCATGTCCTGCAGTGGGATGTCAAGGGTTTTTTTACCCTTGAGTGAGTGGGTTTAGAAAAAAAACTGCTGTTGAGTGTTAAATTCTACGGTCACCTAAATATCAGAGCCCTGCTTTGACTTCATGTCTACCTCCACCACTGGAGCTCATGCACTGCTCTTGGGACCAGAAATTGTAGGGTTGGAAGATGCTTTAAAAGGCTCTGTGTGGTTTATGTGAATTTTTAATTTTTTTTTTTAAAGTTCCTTGTGATTTATCTCGTCAGCTCTTGTCCCCCCCTTCCTAGGGAGGAACGTGCTGTGATTAAGTTTTTCTTTCTATAAGCTGGAAATATTGGGCCATGAAAGTCTGAGGTGCTCACCTGAAATGCCCCATGAGTGCCCACCAGAGACAAAACTGGGCTGAAAGGACCTTCAATTCACCTGGTTCCAATCCCCTGCCATGGGCAGGGACACCTTCCACTATCCCAGGCTGCTCCAAACCCTGTCCAACCCGGCCTTGAACACTTCCAGGGATGGGGCAGCCAGCTTCTCCAGGCACCTGAGGGCCTCCCCACCCTCACAGGGAAGAATTTCTTCCCAATATCCAAGATAAACCCCAAATTTTGGAGTTCAGCTTTTGAGACTGCTGTTGTGCAGTGCTGACTTTGCTCTGGAGGAGAGCTAAAACCAAGGGCCTCCCCACACAGTAATGCAACAGAGCTTTTAAGCCCTTTTGAGCAGGAAAAGAGGTCTAAGTGTGAATGCACTCCAGTCTGTTGGGGCACCCTGTCCAGCTGGGCCCACAGCAATATTTGTTCCATGTTTTAAAATGCACAAAAGTGTAAATGTAACTCTCATTACAGAGATGCTCCATTCAGCATCAGGGCTTGTGAACCCACCACTCAGTGAGCAAGTGAGCTCTGTTTAACTCTGGCTCTTAGGAAAGCCAGTTCCAGCAGGAATTCAGAGAACCATGGAATGGGTTGGAAGAGACCTCAAAGATCGCCTTGTCCATTGCCCCTGTCATGGGCAGGGAAACTTTCCACTATCTCAGGTTGCTCCAAGCCCTCTCCAAGCTGACTTTGGACACTTCCAGGGATGGGGCAGCCACAGTTTCTCTGGGCAACCTGTGTCAGGGCCTCACCACCCCCACAGGGAAGAATTTCTTCCCAATATCCAATCTAAATCTATCCTACTTCAGCTCAAAGCCATTTTCCCTTGTCCTGTCACAACAAGCCCTTGGAAAAAGTCCTTCTCAGCCTCCTTGTGTCTTTTAGGTACTGGAAGGTACTAAAGTGTGGAATTACATCAGGATGGCAGTGTTGGAGATGTCTGATGGGATCTTTGAGCTTGAAAGGAACTGCTGTCCTTGTCACGACTTCGGTGGGACTCACCAGCTTCACTCCACACTGGGAAATGTGGAAAGGAGGCAAAAGGAGGGACCAGAGAACCATGGAATATCTCAGAAAAGGCACACAAGGATCACTGAAATCAAACTCATCAAACTGGATTTGATGGGGTGTGAAGGCCTCACCACCACTGGTGACAAACATGCCGACAGCAGAGCTGGGAGCACGGGATCTCCTTCCATTCCCTGGCTGGATATCCAGCCCTTGGATGCAAGGAGTGACAGAGCCTTTAGAGCTGAAAGGAGCCAGAGCATTGGCAGCAAAAGGAGGAGAGCTGGAGTGACCAGGCAACCCCTGGGAACGCTGGAGAGTCAGCCCAGCCTCTTGGCCACCTCACCCTCTGCCAAGTGGAGAACAAAGCAGGAGCCCAGCAGGCTTTGTCACATGTTGACACCCTCCTGGCTGAACTTGTGGGGCGGGAGATGCTGGCACAGTGGTCCAGGGCAGAAAACAGGGAGTGCTTTCCTGCACGTTCCTCCCTTCCCCGCCCAGGCACTTTTGTGTGTTCAACGTTGACCAAAAAACTCTTTAACATTTTTGACAGAGCCACAAAGCTTGTTGCACCAATTCCCACCAGTCTATAAACCAAAAAAGAGAAGCAGGAATATGCAGGACCTGCCTCCCATCTCCCTGAGGCTTGTTCATTTTGAATTATTATATTTGAATTATTCTCACGGATGTGCCTGGAGCAAAGTGCCAGAAGCAGCTGACCCACAGAAAATCCAAAGGGAATTAATTTGGGATCTTGATGATGCTTCTTCAAACCAGGCTGTGTTTTGTCCTCTCCTGAGTCAGACAACAACCACTGGGTCCCTCTCCACCAGGACACACTGAAGGTGGGACAGCCAATGCATCCTGATGCCAGCACAGACTTCAGGAATTCTGTCTATGGATTTGCACTCGAGAAATCCACAGTCCTGAGCCCTCTGCCTTACAAGAATTCAGGTTGCAAAGCAAACAGAAAACGATGCTGTGCTGCTTTAATTCTCCCCTGCAATTAAAATGCAAACCCTGGACCATTTGGCCGTGGGTGTGCAGGATGTGGTGGGAATTGAGGGAGAGCAGGAGGCTCCACATGACATTTCCTCAGTGGGAGGAGCAGAGCTGCATCTGCTGCCGGCCACATCAACAGCTCCAGTCCCAAACATCACCCCTGTGGGCTGCAAACCCCTGCCCAGGAAGGCTCTGGAAACGGATGGGATGCAGTAGGGAAGAGCCTGACTTATTGCTACATAAAATATTATCCTTGAACTGTCACCGTGAGTGAAATTTCTAAGGTTTTTCACAACAGAGGGAAAAAATATTTTCTCTTTTTTCCTTTTTCATTTAAAGTCATTTGCTCAGCTCTGAGTGATGCATTTTTTGCCTCTTCCATTATTTCTTTTCTGTTTTCCTTCCCCCATTACAAGCACATAAAAGCTTCCTAAAGACAAAATCTGTGGAATTTGGAAAAGAGGCAAACACAGGCTTCTGTCAAAACTTTGGTTTGCACAAGTCAGGCTCATTCTGCTGCCTAAAACTGAGCAATTTTGAACATATGGAGCCAATCAAGCACAAAAACAGATTAAAAAATAAAAAAAAAAGCTGGTTTTAATTTTTAAACATCCTAAACTTTAAATATTCCACATTCATCCCCTTAAAAAATACATTAAAAAGATCTAAGTAAAAGGTATTTAGATCAAAGTGATGTCACAAATACAACAGTTAAACCTAATTAGTCCCTGTGAACTTGTTTTTACAGGAACACACAATCCAGCTTGGTCAAATGATGGATTGAGGAGGCAGGGATGCAGGAATTGTCCTGCACATGGAAATTTAGCTCCCAGACTGCCTCCTGTGGGTCAGTGACTGGTTTTGACAAAAAGGACGGAGGATAAAACAAGGGGAGAAAAGGAATCTTTTACTCACTAGTTCACGGTGCCGTATCCCTTGGCTTTAGTAAATCCCACGGAAATGGCAACCACCAAGGCAGGGAGCCCTGTGGGAATGAAACAGGAGGAAATTGGTCACTTCATCACAAGTGCAGCCCTTCTCCCACTCAATATTCCCCATTTTTCCCAGAGTTATTCCAGCACCATCCATTCCAGCCTGGCTCTGGGGCAGAGACTGAGCTCAGGATCCTCAGAACTAAAAGCAAGAACTTTAATTACCTCTGTTATTTAAATAAATACCATGAGCTGCAATCAGCTCCTGCTCTGCTGTGGTCTCAACAGTTGTGGGGGGTCTTTCAGTATCTTCAGATGCATAAAATTGATTTATTTTATTCTTAGATTCATCATGATGTCTCTGAAGTTGGAATATTCAGCCACAACACAACTCCAAGGACCCAAAGATTAAGAGCTTTGTTTGCACTCAGGGTAGGATGAGCAACCCAGGTTCAAACCTGCCCCAAATGAGACAGAAAAGGAAACTAAAACTGAGTTTCCCTATCCCAAACAGGTCCCCCAAGATCTGTAATGGAACAGATTCATCCAAACAACAATGAGAAAGAGTTTCAGGTCTCTTCCAGGATCTGTGAAGGTTCAAAGTCCAGCTCTCCCCTTTCCCTAAAGAAATGTCTGGAGATCAGCGCCCAACATCAGGTTCTTCAGCTCTGGAGGTCTCCATGTGGCTTTTTATAGCCCTCCTCTTGGTGCCAGGAGGAATTAAGCTGTCTCAACACTAAAGATGAGAAAATCCCATTAGGAATCAGCAGGATCAGTGGCCAGCTGGGATTAGTGCCCCTTGACAAGGCCCTAATGAGCTGCAGAGGGCACGGCAGGTGACTGCAGGAGATCCAAGGAATGTGCAGGCACAGCTTCCAGACAACGTTCCTCTGGGAAGGGGATCCCTCAGCAACACCAATCATCCAAAGGCTGATTAATGGGGAGGCTCTGCAGCAGCTGGGAGTCACAGGGCCAAGCTGGCTGGAATATGGAGCATTTGGGGGTTATCCTGCAGGGAAGTGCTTCTCTTCCCATGTGAGATTTCCAAGAACAGGTCACATTTCATCAGTCCAAACCCAACATGCAGTGGGTTTAAAAAGTATCTATTTTAATATTAATTTGTTTCCCTTTTTCATTTTTCCTTTCCTGTTCCTTTTCCTTTCTTTTTTCCTTTCTCTCTTCCTTTCTCCTTTCCTTTCCTTTCCTTTCCTTTCCTTTCCTTTCCTTTCCTTTCCTTTCCTTTCCTTTCCTTCCCTTCCCTTCCCTTCCCTTCCCTTCCCTTCCCTTCCCTTCCTTTTTTCCTTCCTTTTCTTTTCTCTCATTTTTTCCTTTCTTTTCTTTCCTTTCCATTCCATTCCTCTTTTCGTCATTTTTTCCCTCACTGAACTCTCACTCAGCCTCCTTCACACCTCATCTGGATAAATCCTGGCTGCTGCATTTCCTAGGGTGCCATCCATACAGCATCCCATGGGAAGAAACCACACGGGAAGGGACATTTTCGGGAATACAGCTTGGTGCAAGAGACCCTGGGAAAGAGGAAATTTGGCAAAGATTCCGCCAAAAATAGCAACTTGTTCTTCGCAAACTGCTTCTCTCCGACGTGGTAATTATGCAGAAATCCAGAGTGGGGCTGTGAACTTGGCAGCTCCAGGGACTGGCTCATTCCAAGGCTGGGTAAAAGCCTCAGTTTGGGCTGGGAATGGGTCTGCACAAGGAGCAGCTACTACAGGAGGCAGCTACATCGTGGTAGTTCAGCCAAAGAGAATCATAATGAGAGGCGCAGCCCTGGGAGAGCTGTCAGCAGTCTAAGCAAAATTAGATGGGGTTAGATTAAAAAAAAACCCCACCAAAAAATCAAATTTTAATAGATTTTATTATTATTATTATTATCAAGATATTTATTCCTAACTGTCCTGTTCCATATACCTGGTGTGGTACAGGCAGTACCATCGAGGCTTTGGGGGCTTTCTGCATGAAGGGAATTTAACACCCACAATCCCAAGTAAACCCATTCAAAACCTCTTTCAAAGAATTTTGTACTTCCAGGTCACAGGAGAATCAGGCCATGTGTTAATCATGTTCCTCTAGAGAAGATGTTTGCTAATAATTCCCAAGAGCCATTCTTGTTATAAACAGCTGAAGACCCACTCAGAGGCTGAGCTATGGCAGCATTAAAAATCCAGCTGTGGAAACTATAACAGGGTCATAAAAATCCTGACAAAAAATATTTCTTCTTTATTGGGGCTAAATATGATGACTGAGCTGTTCCCAGGGAACAATTTATCTGTCTATTCTAAACCAGAGAATATCCTGAATTGGAAGGCTCCACAGGGATCATCAAGTCCAGCTCCTGACCCTGCACAGGATCACCCAAAGAGTCACATCATGAACTTGAGAGCATTGTCCAAGCACGGACAAGAATCATTAATAATAATTGTTACTAATAATAATTTAAAAATTGAATTGCAAAGTTGCACGTCTAAGAGGAGACTAAAGCAATATAAAATAATCCTCCCTGCTGCTGAAATTCTCTGCAGCTTCAATGAGCTACAGCTGAGAACTTGGCAAAGATGTCTCGAACGACGGCTTAGAGAAATGCAAATGTGCAAAGAGGGGAAAGGGGGGAGAACCAGCCCATGACAAAGTGAATTGTGCTAATTATTTCAGATTATGCTCTTTAAAACATATTTTCGGCTTCTTTCCTCTTACAAGTGCCATTAATCCCAGCTCTACAGCTGAAGTCTAGCAGGATGCTAAATATCCAAAATTCCCTTGCCGCCTTAATAGGCAAGAGTGTTCTTCATTTCTTGTCCTAACCTACTCCAAATGGTTATTATGCATCATTTATCAGCAGTGCATTCTAGCTCAGAGCTCACTACATTTTACTAGCAGTGCAAATTATGCTTCTACACATGTAGGGGGATTTTTTATTTTTTTTTTTAATCTGTACAGACTACAAACGTGAACGTTGCTCATCCAAAATTCCCTTGGCTAACACGCCCATCTGTCTCAGCTTTCACAAAACAGGGGAGAAAAATCCCTTTTTATTACCTAGGCAAGCTATTAGTCTGTTACATTTGATATCCCTGATGTTGCTGGAGTCACTAAGGAGGTATAAACATATGCATGAGCACACCCAGGCTCCTGCAGCCTGTCCTCTGCAGGTATCGTGGTTCTGCTCCTGCTAACACGCAAACCCTGGATTTTAATAACACAATTTATTCTCTTTTGTAAGCAAAAGCTTAGGAGGGAAAACTTAAAGGGATGAACGCGCTGCAATGAGGACAGCTCTTGATGTGCCAGAATAAATCACATCAGGGTGCTTGGTAAGCACAAGAAATCTCTTGCCTGGGGTGAATTGTGAGACTTCAGTAGTAAAATGAGGCATTAATAGAGCTCAGCCACACTCCTTTCTTTCCTTTGCCTCCTCACTTCTCAGCAACTTTTTGTGTCGCTGCTCCTTTCAAACACACCCTTGTTATCGTTTTGAAAGCCCAGGTTTATGGGTTTGTATTTGTTTTCTACTACAGAATGCATCATTTAAGGCTAATAAATTAAACATACGGCAGAGGCAGAGGGAGAAAAATTAGTTACAAGCATCTGCAGCAGTCTCGCAGTTTATTTGTCTCCGAAAGGCACTGCTGCCATGGAGACAGGATTTTAGAGTTTGCTTCACTCCAGGTTGCTCTGCAGAGTCTTAGAGCCATAAAATCATTGAGGTTAAAAAGACCTCCAGGATCATTGAGTCCAGCCAGGTCCACTACTAAACCATGACCCTAAATGTCACTGCTGCATGGGTTTTTGAGTGCTTCCAAGGATGCTGATTCCACCACTTCCCGGGGCAGCCTGTTCCAATGCTTGGCCATCCTTTCAGTGATAAATTTTTCCGTAATATCCCATCTAAACCTCCCCTGGTGCAACTGGAGCTGTTTCCTTTTGCTCTATTACTTTTACCTAGGAGCAGAGCCTGGCCCCCTCCGGCTGCATCCTCCTGTCAGGGAGCTGTGGAGAATGAGAAGGTCCCTTCTGACCCTCCTTTTCTCCAGGCTGAACTCTCACAGCTCCCTCAGCCACTCCTGGTGCTCTAGACCCTTCCCCAGCTCCATTGCCATCTCTGGACATTTTCCAGCACCTCAATGACTTTCTTGTAGAAAGGAGTCCAAAACTGACCCCACAGTTGGAGGTGTGGCCCCAGCAGAGCCCAGCACAGAGGGCCTGGTCCTGCTGATCCAGGCCAGGATTCCCTTGGCTGGTATCATGTACCAACAGAACACATCCAACACGGAGGGAGACAGAGAGAGAAAAGTAGAAAGCAAGAAACAGACCCAAGCCCAGGAGAAACCACTCCTGGAGCACCCTCTGAAACCTGAACTCGACTCCTCTATTTTCGAGATCGCCGGGCAGGAGGTTCAACTTCTGGCTCTCTATTTTTAACCATTTCAGCCTTTCTTGAAAGCCCTGGAAGGGTTCCAAGCACTCTCTGCCAAGCCTCCTGAGGATCACCAGCCCCTCCTACAGCCTGGCTCTTCTCTGCTCCGCAGTCCCCGGATCCTCACCCCATCCAAGACACAAGAAGCGCTTGCGGATGATGCGGTTCCGTAACCGGCCCGTCACGGCCATGTAGGACTGCCAGGCCTCGGTCAGCACCCAGCAGAAAGAGGAGAGGAAGAAGAAGTGCAAGAAAGCCGCCACCAGCGTGCAGATCACCTGCAGAGAGGAGGAAAGGAGGACAAGTGAGAGGAGCGGCAGGCGGAGAGAGCAGCAGGGAGCAGAGAGGAAGGCGCGGGGAGACGATTCCAAACCGGGCTCTGGAAGGAAAAGTCATGGAGATCAGGACATGCAAATACTGTTTTAGAGGGGCAGGCTCCTCCAAAAGTTTTGACTTAACAAAGATCAAAGCCTTAAATTTAAGTACTACATGGAAATCATCTGCTCTTAAGCACGAGCTTTAGGATAAGGCCATGGTTAACACTTTGGAAGAATTGTTGAATTATAGAATTGTTTGAGTGGGGAGGGACCTTAAAGATAATTTAATTACAACCTCCACAAAACAGGTAGGGACACCTTCCATTAGAAGTCTGAGCACACATCCCATCCTGGTGCTTTCTTGGCTTCAGCAGGATATATTTAATTTCCAAATCATCCAAATTATTGCCATGATCCTTACAAGGCTGGGGGGATGGAATAGTTAGTAAACAGTGCACTAATCTCACTTGAAAAGGTTTGCAAAGCACCACGTCCCTGGCAGCCCAGCCATGGAAATGAAATCTGAGGAAGGTAATTTGGATGGTGCCCCTGCCAGAAAAACAGGGCTGAGTGAAAGAGTTAAGCCGTGAGAGCTGGGTGAAACCGTGGCTTCCAGGGACTGGGAAAGGACTGCAAACATGAGGGCACAGTTGTCCAAGAGCACATAACTACCAGCAGACAGAAGAAAAAAAAAAAAAACAAAAAAAAACCCCTAGATTAGAAAGAATTTCATAATGGTGAGCTCTACTACTTGGTGGGGAAATCTCACAAGGGAAATGCAGGCAGCTTAAGCCATTTAAAATTAAACTGGGGAAAGAACTGGCAAATGCATTATGAAGAACAATCCCAGAGTGCCAGGGAGATGGACTGGAAACCTGACAAGCTCGTCTTTGTTTTAACTCAGCAAGGCCAAATCTTTCACTGGTGCAAATTGGTGCCGCTCTGTTTCACTCAGCCAGTTTTCCCCCCATCTGGGAGCTGAAAACTGTGAATCAACGTACTCGAGAAGAAAGTGATGGGAAGAAACTCCAGTGGCTCCTGAGGAGAAGGGAGAGCAAATAGATTTTAAAAGTGACTATGGATGAAAAAAACATATGGCTTCAGGCATTTGGGGAAGGGGGAGATTTATAATCAAGAATTTCTTTGCTTTGAGTTATATGGGGAAACGTGGACTAGGCTTTACGGTCAATGAACCTCTCTCTTTTTGCTCTTTTTTCAACCACCAGCATCTTTCAAGCTACAGCTCTCATGCACAGAGTGGCTTTTATCATGATTTTATCGGATTGCTCTTGATTCATCCACTGGCACCACCCGACGTTATCAGAGGCTGTGAATAAAAGAAAGACCGTGTGTTCTCTGAGATAGGAATTGGTTTTTTTTGTTCCAGATTTGCATTTGACACCAAATCCCTCCGTATTCTGCTTAAAGGTGTATTCGGGATGTCAGTTCAGTACAAATAACACAGCTCAATATGATAATGTCCAGTAATTTTGATATTTTACAAGAATCCTAAAAAAAGGTGGTTCCTATTCATCAGCTTACAAACCCTATATGAAACAGCTACAAACAGAGGATTCTTTCTGGAATGGATTTTAAGAGATTGCTATTTTAGAACCCTTTTCTTTTTTGACTGATATCAGGTACAACACTGTTCACATTGTCTTTTTGATTTTGTTTCAAACCAACACAGTTCCTCCTTGTAAAGCGGAGAGAAAAGCTTTGCTTTACAATTTTACACCACAGAGATACGTTTGGGTTTTTCTGGTTTTTTTCTTCTCAAATGAATAGCTTTGACAGAAAGGGAAGAGAGGAGGGGAAGACAAAAGAAATATGCACATCTCAGCTGGACCAGGATGAACTCATCGCCTCAAATGAACTTGGCCAACTGATAGGCAGGCAAATATTTGCTTCTGCAACCTCTCCTGCAGGTTTTCCCTTCCTTGTGGGGAAAACCAAACATCCCCATGAAGGGCTAAGCACAGGGATATGATGTCCCAGGATCCAGCAGAGCCTGTCAGTCTGTCAAGGCCATTAGCCCTTGCTTTCCTTTAAGAGGAGAAATCTGCTCCCTTCCAGCACAAGCCTCGGAGATACGAGGCCACTTCCTGCAGCATCCATTCCCTTTGTATCCCCGGATTGCTGACTGTAATTTTTTTTTTTAGCCTTTTCCCAGGCCTTTCATCTTCAAAAAGCTTAGCAAATCCAGGCATGGAATCTCGCCTTTGAGGTTACACAGATGGAAATCCAGGGAGAATTTGACATTTCCAGGGAAGCCGATACCGCAGAAATCTCCTGGAGAAGCCGCAATTATAAATCACCGACATTTTAAGGCACTCTATTATCGATAATTGAATGTGAATAAAATCTTAATTTACGCTCCTTCGTCTCTCCTCTGCATAGTTTTCTCTCTCTGTTGCCTGCCAGAGACTGTTTACTAGATGGCTGAGAGGAAATCCAAGAATAACCTTTCTATTTCTGGGGTTTCATGCATATGGATGTGCAAAGAGCTAATCTGCCTCCTGCCATCGCTGCCGGGAGCTTTGAATCCCCACCAACAGCTCCGACACTGAACTCCCAGAGTCACGGGACAAAAAATCCACCAGGGCAAACCTGGGTTCATAACTGTGCTCTGCAGGAGGTGGGAGAGGAGGAAGACATCCAGCTCCTGTCCTGAGGTGAAGAAGAACCACCAAAGAGGAGGTCCAGCCATGGTTTGTCCTGTTGAGCATCCCTCAGTGCTTCATCCCGTGGAAAGAAGCTCCCAGCACATGTTTGGTGTGGCAGAAAACACAAACAAGGAAAGCAGGAGCTTGGGTTTCCCTCTCTCCACCTCTTGCCAACCACGTTGGCAATGGAAAATAACTCTGCTTTGGGAAGGGAGTTTCTTTGCGGCAGGAAAGAAACTGGCTGCTTGTTTCCACACTTTTCTGCACACACAGGGCTCCAACAGCTGGAAAGCTTTTCCTAAAACAACCTAACCCTAACCCAAAGAGCCTTCCATAGAAATGAATCCCTGATTCACTAAATCCTTCAGCTTCTCTGCAGGAATCATAAAATCATAGGATGGGTTGAGTTTTGGGAGGTACCTTAAAAACCATCTCATTCCAACCCCCTGCTACGGACAGAAAGATTTTCTCTTTGCTCAAATCTCTGTCCAACCTTGCCTTGAACACTTCCAGTGTTGGAGCACCCACAATTTCTCTGGGCAACCTGTTCAGTGCCTCACCACCCTCACAGGGAAGATTTTATTCCTGATATGCTTCTAACAGTGACACCATGCTCATGCTGCCAAAGCAGGGGCTCAAAAAACCCAGCTGGTCACTGGTTCCTGTTAAGCAATACTAATTTTTGACTTCTGATTGTGATTTTGGCAGCAGAAAGAGTGGAGGAGGTGTCTTGATTCACGTTTTTTGGCTCAAAAGAGTTATGATGGTCAGAGCATTTTGGAAGAGGGGAAAATTTGCAAGAGAAAAATACTAATGGTGAACAGTGATTTGTCATGCCAGACATCAACAGGGAACCTGAAAGCACTTGAGCTGGAAAAAAATCATGGAGGCAACACACGCCTCTCCAGCTGGATCTGTGGGAAGAGAGCAACTAGTGTTCATGGCTTGGAAAACCAAGCTGGGTTTTGCCTGGACTGCTGGAGTCACTCTGGGATCTGCTCCGAGTCCCTCGAGGCCCTGCAGTGCTCACGGTGCATCTGGCAATGCTTCCCATCCTCAAAAAAGGTTGGACAGTTTTGTGCCTGTGTTCATTAACATCTGCCAAGTACTTTCAGCTCAGAGTATAAAAACTGCCGGAGAAATAAATGTAAAGCTGACAGGTTGTTTGTTTGGGGTTTTTTTTAAAGCCTTTTCTCAATCTGTCTTTGTAATTTTTTTGAAAATAAAGTGGTTAAAGCCTTGCAAATCACCACGCTTCTTCACCATACCATGTGCCAGCTACTCTAGGCAGATATTCAAAAATATCACATTGGTTTTAATCAAAGCCCTGAGGATGCTGACAAATTATCAAAGAGAGAACGAGAGAGAAAATTGAAATCTGCCATTTAGCCGTGTCTTTGACATGTCGCTAATTAACAGATGGAGGAAAAATGAGGAAGCGCTGCCTGAATGGATCATTTCAGTGCTAAATCAGGGGGAAAGCAAACAAATAAACAAAGCCCCAGTGGATCCCTTACCTTATTCCGGGTCTGGGTCTGTCCGATGAGGATGAGGGCGTTGGAGGAGATGATGGAGAGGCAGAAGTTGATGAGGATGACGGAGCGCTCCGAGCGGATGTACCTGCAGTGACAGAAGAGGGGAGGGAGACCCACCCTGTCACAGCCTGCCCTGGGTGACCTCTGGAAAGCAGCAATCCAGGCCAGGCTCTACACAATTGCCAATTTCCTGAAGATTTTATGTGCTAGGCAGACAAGAACAAGGGGGGAAGGGAGGGGGAGAAGATGTCTCCATCATCCCCATCAATGCTGGAGTTAGGAGCCAACAAACGAGGGGCCAGCCTAGTCCGAGCCCCTCCTAAAACAGTAGAGTGCTGCAAATCTTCTTCAGCTCTGCCTACTTGAAACGGGGGCTTGAAAAGGAGCTTGAAAGAAAACAAACAGGCAACACACAGATAAGATTCCCAACCAAAGGCATGCTGGCGATGGAAGCAGATTACAAACACATGCACCTTGACAACAAAGTGTGTGTGATTCAGCATTCCACTTCCTTCAGCCTAACAACCCCTCCTGGGGTGAGAAGCATTGAGAAGCATTTCTGGCTTTTATTTTTTTCTTTTTTTTTTAATTTTGGTATCACTTCTCCAAACTAGGCCAAATACATAACTGCAGCTGTGGGTTTGGGACATCAGGGACAGCAGTTAGGGAGCTGTTGCCTTCAGCACCTTTCAGGAGCCAGCTATTTGTCATTTCTGATTTGCAGCACAGCACCAGGCTCGCTGCCGAGGTAAGTGCACCACAATTAATTCAAACCACTGGCCAGGGAGGGAAATTTCTTTGAAGGCACTTTTATGTACATGATAAAACGAAAAGGGAACTGCAAAGGTGCAAGTCCTCAAGGACTGGCTCAAGATCTGACCACACCAACATTCACACACGTGAATTATCTCGAAGATGCTGCAAGTGCCCTGCCTGAATGCCAGATGAGTGAAGAGGAGATGCTGATGCTTATATAAATTAGAAACAGATGTATTAATCAACTAGCTCATCCCTGGAGGCTAATGCAGGATTATTTCCTATATTCCAGCACATCAACTATTTATGTTAGGAATTTAATTTCATTAATTAATTTTAGCGAGAGTGAGTTGGTCGTGCCTTGGCTGCAGAGTTTTGAGTTTCTGATGAGGAGGGCAGGATGGGTTTACTGCACGTGTGTGTACTGCCAAGGGTAAATCTGTGCTTTAGACCTAATGAAGGCTGTAAAACTGATTTTTCAACGTCCCCTTGAGCTGTACCTTCAGACAAACATGCATGGTGAAGATATGCTTTTCTGGATAAAAAAATTTTAAAAAAATAGCAAAGGTAGCATGAACTGCTACTTAATCTGTTGGAAATCTGGTTTATAGGAAGTTCTCTCCCAGCCCCAGAACAGGCTGCAAAATGTAGGATCCCTCCTCAGCAAGAAACTGGGTTGACAGGCTGCAAAATGAGCTTTTGGTTCCTTCCACAGCCAAGCTGAGCCCAAATTTCCTGATTTCAATGGGCTCCATATAGTGCTGGGCATCACCTGGACCCTGCTCCATTTGTGACTGGAGGGTACTGAGACCTCAATCTTCTCATGCTTTGATTGTGTGAAGTAAAACCTCAAATCTCCAGTCAGGAGCTTCTACAGGGCAGAAACAGAGATTTGGACTCTGTCCTGGTGGGAAGGAGATGTAATACATCTGTGTAGCAACATTACAATCCCACTGCTATTAGCATGAACTTGTAAAGTCTTCCCTGATCAGAAAAAGGTAAGAAATGAGTTGACCATAAATCTGCGTTTTAACATAAGGGGAGATAATCTAGCTGTCTTAAGACTTTTTGCCCCTTAAGCCCCCTTAAACCAACTCTCTTTTTTCCCCTGCTTCCCTTCACACCCTGAGAATTTATCTTGTTCTCCAGATCCCTGAACCTCCAAAGAACAAGATGTGGGTTGGCAATGAAAAGAATCAGAATAATTTAGGTTGGGGAAACAAAACAACCTCTCAAGTTCCCAGTCCCATCCTATGCCTAAAAAAAGGACTGATTTCAAAGTCAGATCAGGTTTCTCAGGGTCTCATCTGATTGAGATTTGAAAATCACCAGGAACAGAAATGCTATCACCTCTCTTGGCTGACTTATTACAGCACTAAACTGCTTAACTTAACTGCTTTCCTGGTGAAGGATTATTTTGCTTTATATCCAGCTGGGTCTTTTCCTGCTGCAGCTGGTGCCTTTAGACCTTTCCCTGCCTACCTCTGCAAGTTGTTTGGCTTCTCCATGACTGCTCTTTAACAGCCTCCTCTTCTCCAAATTTGTTCCCTTTGCCTCCTTTGACATTGTCCAGCTCCCTCAGCACAGACTGGACTTGCTGGGATGTGCTGGTATCTCTGGTATTGGAGGCATCCAACACTGGGCACCTTTTCCAGGTGTGGACTCAGGAGTGTCCAGGTTGTTAAAGAAGACATTAAACAATGTTGGCCACCCTACCAACCCTGATCAGCTCTTGATTAGGCCTCAAACCTTTGACCACCACGCTCAAATCCTGCAGGAATTTCATCCAGATATAAAGCCACCAATCCAGTGCATAATTCCATGGTCTGGATACAAAAATGCATTTGGAGACTGTGTTAATGGCCTTGATAATGTCAAAATCCACACCAGCTGCTTCTCTCCACTGTCCATAAAAGCAGTCATCCCATCCCAAAAGGAAAACAGGGCAGCCAGGCACAACCTGTCCTCCACAAATCCTCACTGTCTATTCCCAATTGCTTCCCTGTCCATCATTTTGCCTGGAAATAACCTTTAGAGCTACTTGTCCTTTCATCATCCCAGGGGCTGTGTAGGCTGACCGGTCAGTTGTTCTCTGGATCCTCCTCCTTGCCCTTTTTAAAGGTGGGTGTAACATTTGCCTTTTTCCAGCCTTCAGGAAGCTCCCCAGGTGACAGAGAGTGGCTCCACTCCCTCAATGCATCCCACGGATCTAAAAACACCCAGAGGCATTAAACAGTCCTTGTCTCTCTTTTCCTTGGCAGTGGGGAGCATTTTCTTCCCTGGATTCTGCCTCTATGGAGGAATTTGGGTGCCTGGGAGCCAGCCTTGCCAGCAGAACGTGGCAAAAAGGTACCATCAGCTTTTCAACTTCCTTATCCACCAGGGTGCTTGCCCCACTCAACACCATTTCCTGGGAAATCCTTTGGTGCTGACGTACCTCCAGAACCCATTCCTGATGCCTTTCACATCCCTGACCACTTTCAAACGCAGCTGAGCTCTGACCATTCTAATTCAATCCTGCATTCCTGGGCAATTCTTCCAGAGTCCTCGCTGGTAGCCTGACCTGGATTCCAAACATTTCCTTGTTAAGTTTCTGCTCAGTCATAATGCTAAGAAGACCTCCTGCCACGCTTGCTTTTTTTTCCTTCCATTTCCTCTTCTCCAGCACAGGATGCTCCACAGAAATAAATCACTGTTCTTCTCCAGACCCTCTGGCCAAAGAAGTCAGGAATTTGTATCAGAGGGGCGAAAAAACATCGAACTTGATGGGTTTTGCCCAAAAACACATCTGCAGAAAAGACAGAGCTACTCCAGGGTGCTGCCTTGCTACCCCTCAACTGATACATGGATTCTGTCTACTTATCAAAATATGCTGTACTCAGCCACAAAACTGGGGGAAACTCACTGCTAATTTAGGGAACTTCTGCTCCAGCCTGTGTCCTACAATCACAGGATATCCTGAGTTGGAAGGGACCCACAAGGACCAGCAAGCCCAGCTCCTGGCCCTGCACAGGACACCCCAACAATCCCATCCTGTGCCTGAGAGTGTGTCCAAGCACTCCTTGAGCTCTGGCATTTTTGATGCTGTGACCATTCCCAGGAGAGCCTGTTTCAGTGCTAAACCACTCTGTGAATTAAAAAATTTTTCCTGATACCCAACCCAACCCTCCTGACACAACTCCGGCCATTCCCTCAGGTCCTGTCACTGGTCACCAGCGAGGATCCCTACATTCTGTGTGAAGCCCTGCACCAGCTGAGACAGATGGAAAAGGTCGGAAAAGCCCACAGCCTGCATCTCTGCCCCCATTAGACTCCTCTCCACAAACTGAGTCACTGCAGCTTTCTCACCGTGTGTACACACATCCCTCTCCACACAGCCACTTACTCATCCCTGCCACCTCCCACCAGGGCCAGGAGTGCCTCAGCATCCCCAGCACAGGCAGAGCTCCTGGGCTTAAAGCAAGCCTTAACAGCCCCTCGAGAGCTCATTGACAGCCACTCAATCAGTCCTCAGGAGTGAAAAAAGCTGGGGCTGCTCTCTTGAAATGAAGCAGCACTCACCCAGCTGCTGCCAGGGACAGAGCTCTGCCCTGCCCCACAGGCTGATGGGCTGGTGGACGAGCTGCTCAATAGCAGGGATCGATCCTGTGCTATGGAAAGGTCACTGACTCCAGAGGCTGTAGAGCTGCAACGAGTTCAGGGATGGAAAACACATGGGGTACTCCTGAAATGCCAGTGTGTCAAGGAGCTGCTTGAAAAGAGGTGTCATTTCACCTGTTCTGACCCCTGAGTGGTTGGGTTTTCCCCCCAGTTTTTCACTTCTATGCCAGTTTTCAATTTTTTCTCTCAATTCCCCCTCTTTTCCCACACGGGTGGTGGAGCACGTGGCCCACACACAGATTGTGCCTCCAGCTGTGACCCAGGACAGGCAGTGCAGAGACAGAACAAGGTCACTCCACTTCTGTGGCCCACTGTGTCACTGACCCCTCTGTCGAGACTGCTAATAAGACCAGAGATGCACCATCTGCAGCAGAGATTTTTGCAGCCATCTGTCTACTGGGAACTAGAGGGAGGCCACCAACAGGCCACCAACAGCCGTCGAACAGAAACAACTTCCAGTTTCCAACGGGGCCGTGCCAAGTTGGCCGTGTCTGAAGTGATCACTCGCCTCAAAAAAGCTCGTGCCATTCATGCCAGTGGCTGAGTAGGTGCCACCAAGGAGCAGCCTTTATTTGGGGGTTTTGAATGGGGAGTGCAGAGGGAATTCATTTCCTCCCTGATATGTAGCCCAAAGCTGGGATCACCTCCCTGTTACTCTTGCCCCTCTTTTCTTCACCGTGTTCCTCTCCCTCTTTCTCGCCTTCTTTTCTGGTTCCCATATACACAAACAAACCCTAGCTGGGCAAAATTCTGGGAAAGCTTCCAGACTGTCAGCCTCATCGAGCTTATTCATCAGAAGTGTTTCATACTCAAGCTGGGTCTATGGATGCATGCTCCAGATGCCTTTGTCCAGAGTTCTGAATGGGAAATTTTCCGGCCAAAGCTCCACGAAACAGCTGAGCTCTGGTGAGTGCTCTCCACACAAGATCAGGCAGCCAGGACATGAGGGGTTTCTCTCCAGCATGGTGGAAAAGAACCACTTTGATGCTGCCCCTGTGTTTTAGAGACAATAATACTGCTGATTTCATTTCTAAGCACTCCTCCAGCTGCTGTCTACCAGAATATACAACATTTAGGGCAAAACAAAGTGGGAGCCAGGAGATAATGTTGAATACAAAGTTCCTGAGTCCATTAATAGGAAAGCACATTCACGTCCAGCAGCTATGCCTAAAATAAAAAGGACACACAGAGCGCTCAGGGCTCAGCCACGGGAATGCTGTGAAGTTTGGAAAACATGAAAACATGATCTACAGAGAAGAAATGGAACAAACTCAGCGCACCAAAGAGAAATTCTAGAGATCACCCGATCATGCTTTACAAATATTTACACAGAAAGACTCAGGCTAGAGAGCCCTTCAATCAAGATATAGCTGGTCTCAGGATCACTTGGAAATGCATGTCCATCCTTGGCTAGCTCAGAAATACCCATTCAAGCCTCTCTTAAACGTGTCCTCCCATTCCTGCTGATCGTTTTGGCCATAGGCATAAGGCAAAGAGTGGAATGAGAAATTAAACAGAACACATTTGAAACAGGTCAGGCAATTTACTGTCCTCAATAACAGTAAATATTGGAGGGGTAGAGGAGAGCACAGTCCTGGAAAAAAATACATCATGTTATTCCAAATGGCTCTGGCATGCTCCAAACTGATTCCAAAGCCTCATGTCTGAGCTTGAGCTTCAGATCCTGACCCTGTTTCTGATAGGAAAGAGAGGGTGAGGCTCGAACGCTTGCTCTTTAATCTTCTATCCTAACTTTCCACTTGATCCTGACACCAGTGACCCCAGTAAGTCACCTACCGGCGCTGCTCAGTGCCGCCCAGCCTGAGGAAAAGCAGGAGAGGACAAGGACTTGAGCACATCCAATGATACCCCAGGCACGGAAAAACCTGAGTTCTAGATAAACGTTATCATGATCAGTCTTCAGCTGCCAAAATTAACCAGCCACTATGCACTGTCACAGTATCAACAAAAAAAAAAAGATGCATTTTTGCTCAGTTTTTACGCTCTTGTTTCTTTCCTCTATCAAAGCGCAGGAAAAGTTATCTCAATTCAGTCTCTAAATGGAATTTACCCTTTCCTTCCTGTTGAGAAGAAGCACTGCACAAAGTAAGAGCCTCACACTGATCCCTTCTCCCAAAAGGATCACCTAGAATACCCAACTGTACTCCCTGCAGCCACTCCATTTGGATTTCACAGACATTCACCTGGTTCTGATTTGTCTTTGCTTGGCCTCGAGTCATGAAGGTCTCAGCGTGTTTGCCATGGATTTAGGAGAGACATGGATCTCACAGGATAAACTCAGACCTTGTTCAAGGCAATACAGGGAGAAAATCCCTTGCACACCTCAGGTCCTTCAGCTTAGAGTCACCAGAATGTATCTAACAGGGGCATGAGCCAATTGTTCATTAAAGCTTTGCTTCAAAATCCCTTCAGCCTCCATAAATAACACAATTTTAGGTTCCACCTGACCTGTGTACAGGAGCTGTCAGCAACGGGATGTACTGAGGGATCCCATATGCATCTGAAGATGAAGGCAAAACGTAGCTAAAAAGTTGGGGAGTTATTTAGATGATTTAACATCCTTAAGCTCCTGAAAAGTTCTGTCAGTTCCTCAGGCCAGATGTTTTCATGGCAGGTCACGGAGGTTTGGATGTTCCTAAAGAATTACCTTGCAGCAGCATCTGCCTGCCAAGAGGCCGTGCGTGTCCACCTCGCCTCTGACAAGGTTTCCTGGGGTACACAAAGGCATCGAAACCAGCACGAGGCTTTTGGAAATGGAACAATGTCCCTACATGAGGGCATGGCACTAATTTCACTCTGCTAATTTCTCTGGCACTGAAAGGGGAGAATGATGCCAGCTAAGCCACCAGGATGACTTTCTGCAGGGCCCACTTGTTCCCAAACTGTTCTTCCTCAAGCACCAGACACCCAAAACCACAGAGCAAACATTCCAGGATCTGTGTAGGTCAAAAGACAGTTACTTTCCCCAAAAAGAAGAGAAGAGAATGAAAGCCATACCTCCAAACAGAGACATAAATGATAATCAACAGCAAAAGTGTCAGCGAGGATACTCCACAGCCTACAATTAACGTGACAGAAGGGACCAGCACCTTTTCCATGTTCTGAAAGAGAGAAAGTGAGACATTAAAAAACAAGTCCAGCCAATTCTACCATGAAAATGTCATGGCAAGAATATTCCTTGTTGATGTGCCCACTCAGCTGACCTTCACATCACACTGTGCATACAAACAAACAGCGAAGGAGAACAGGATCTGTTTCTGCCTGAGCCAGCCTTTTATTTTTTGACTGATTCTGCTCCCACAAGTCAGTGCCAAGCCTGGGTAACAATTCTGATATCCATGGAAGGCAGGCATGTGAAAGGTGTTATGAGAGGAGGATCAGGCTCTTCATATCCCATGTGAAAGTGGGAAGATAATTAATGAAGCAATAACAGAACAATTACAAACGAGCTCTTCTGGGACGGCGGTGATGAAGGGTGGAGGATGAAAAGAAGGTGAAAATTTTCCACCAACCACAAACATTCATCTGGAAAAGGATGAAATGAAGCAAGGGAAGAAAAAACAAGATGTGTACCCTCCCCAGGGATCCACCATCCATCAATTCACCGCACTTACACCACTGCACAAGGCATTTTTTCATAGAAAGGAATCACACAGCCTGGAAAACCTGGTGTGGAATGGTTCTTTTTTCTGACTGAATACAAAAGAACATCAGCTCTTGCAACATCAAGAGCAAACACACGCTGTAACCTCTCTAATGGAGCTCTCTGCATCCTGTGACTGTAACTACCCAACATCTGCCACACTGATATCACTGAACTCGCCCTGTCCTCAGCTCAGAGCGAGGAGCTCAATCCCACTTGGCTTTCCCTGCTGCAGGCATTTTTTTTTCCCCCCTGGCACGTTTTTTATTTCCACATCAGTGATCTCTGCTGGCAGGAAGGCAGCGAGAGGCAGAGCCCCACGCAGAACAGACGCCCAAGAACCCTCTGTTTGGGGTCACACCGTTTGCAGAGGACAGGGAGCCCAGTCACGGTTGTCAATAGACTGGCACAGCACCAGCACCTCGCACTTCACTCATGGAGATGAGATGGCTTCTGACACAGCAAGGGCTTAGCACAGGAGATAAAATAAAAAAAGAAAAGTAAAACTATGCATGAATTTGGGAGTGAAACAGGCAGTCCACTAAGACTTGATTACGCTGTCTTTTTGGCAGGCATGAGGCTGCTGAGCCTGAACCTCCAGTCAGAGGGATGCCATGGAGCTGAGGCTACAGCAGCTCTGTTCCAGGCTACTGAGCCTTCTGCGAAGCGAAATAAATCAGGCAGGGCTCAGCGCTGGGTTTAAATGGAGCCTGGCCAGCTCAGCACATGGCCAAACCAAACCTGTGTCCACTCACTCAAGGCCCACAGTCACAACAGGGTTACTCCACAAAAAGAGATGAACAACCCAGACACAGAGGTCAGAGCTGAATTGTCCCTGAATTTTTGAGGGCTTGGGAAAATCCTATTTGTTTCTTTTGAGCAAGGACACCTCTCACAGCTGAGGGGAATTAATGAGGAATAAAACTTTCACCATTCCACTGCAAGGAACTCCTCAGCGGCTGTCGGGAAGGATGGAACAAGAACTTCCAAAATTTAGTGACACCCTGTAGCAGTCTAGAAAATAAGGGGATTAATGTGAATGTCTCAAATATGGGTGGTCATGAAGCCAGCCAAGGATTGTTGATAATAACACAATGAAGAACAAGGTGTGGTTGAAGAAGGGGCCATGCACAGGCAGGGCAGCACTTTTCTGGGAAAAAAATCCTTTTTCTGGCGCCTGGAGATCATTACAACTCAGTGCAGGCACAGGAATAAGGTTGAGAACTGAGCAGGGACTATAGGGTGGATCAAGACCACCCCAGATCCCTGAAAGCTCCAACCCACTTCCAGAAAGGCCTAGAAGAACAGGCTGTACATGACAAATGATTTGCATGGAAAGAGAGAGACTTATCTCCAAAGCAGAGAAAACTGATCTATAAAAAGGCACTCCCTGGGCTCATGGGCACCCTAGGACCCTGGACACCTCATCAGCTGGATCAACACTGGAGCCAGCACTGGTGATTTCTCTTTTTCCTTTTCCTTGTTGCTCCTTTGCTTCTCTCCCTCCCTCTTTAATCCACCTCCTTTTTCCCTTCCACTCTACCCCCTTATCCAAAACCCATTGCCGTGTGCTGGCACCAGATCAGGGACTAATAACAATTTCCATCTGTAATTCACTTACAAAACTTGGGGCCCCTACGACTTCTGCCATTCATTTTGGCCAAACATTTTGTGTGCTTCCTTCCCCTTAAGGGTGGGATGTCACACACAGTCAATGGCTTGAGTACCCAGCTGGCACCAAAAGGAGTATAGGTGGTCTGAGGGATCTTCACTGGGTGCAGACCAGCTACAGACAACAAACCTGATCCTCACCAATCCTCCTGCCTTCAGATTCCCAAAATGCTCATGAAAGAGATGCTTCAGCTCTCCTGTAGATTCTTTCCCTAAACTTTTACAAACACTTAGGTCACTGTGATTTTTATATCAACTCCTTTGACTGTGCTCCCACCCTGAGAATTTACTCCTGCCAAATATTCATGCTAGGGTAGAAGCATTATTTGGGAACGAGGTAAATACAAATTTCAATGAAAATATCAACGCTTTGATTTTGTCTTCCATCAAACAAAATTGAATTTGGACATCATCCAGGCAGGGTGAGTGCTGACATCACATATTTTGCTCCTTATAAACTGAAATGTGGAAAGGACTCTGATTTACTTAGGTAGGGTGTGGCAGAGGTGGATGCAATGTCCTGCAGGAAGCCACAACTTTCTTTGTCCTCCCTGCAGAATCCTGGCAAACAACAGCCCTGTCCCAGTGCAGAGTGCATGGTTGTGACAAAAGCACTGTGGAACACAAGACACTCAGCCATGGATGGCTCCTTGCTCACTCTCTCCAAGCTCTTTCCCCAGCCTTTCCCCTTCCCTGCTCCCCCCTTACAGCAATTTGAGTTCACATCGCACAAATGGTGGCCTGGGATGAGCATCGATTGTGACATTTGATTTAAGTAGGTCTCGTTTCACTGACTTTTCATGGGTAACTGGATAAAAGTGGGGGAGGAGCTGCATTAAAGCGAAGAAAGCCAGACATGTAACTCATTCCTGAACCATCAAGGGAATGGAGTTTGGTTTTTAAGAGATGAGCAGGCTTGCATCCCTAAATCCCAACATTGCAACCCCAGCTGCCCTCCCTTCCACATCCTCCCTGAGATCCCTCCACCTCAAAAGACCTCAGGCTCTCTCACTGCCTTCCCCATCCACTGTTCCACATCATCCATAACCCTCTCCTAGATCCTGAAGCTAATTAAGGATCTTCCACATGTACCAGATCATTCTGAGCTCAGATGTTTGCCTCTAGACAAAGCATTACACAAATGGTGACTGGCCAAGGTTAAGCCAGGCTTTAGGGTCGTAACTGATGTCTATCTGCATTCCATCCTACAGGAAAGACTTGGATCTGCACCTCCTTCTTCCTCTTGCAAAATTTCACAAACCCCATGTCTAGAAGAAAGGCTTCTGCTGAAGAGATGCCATGAAGCTCATCCCTCCACCCAACAGGAAAGGAAGGATGGGTCCAGCCCTGATGGGATTTTTGTTGGCATCAGGAAGGGGGATAACCACAAAAATAACTGGCTGCAGGAAGAAGAGGAGCTGGCTCCTTTGAGAATATTCAAATCATAATGGTTGGAAAAGACCTTTAAGATCACCAAGTCCAACCATCAACCCAACACCACCATCACATTTACCACTAAACCATGTCCTCCCTCAAGCGCCACATCCACGTTTTTTGAACACTTCCAGGGACAGTGACTCTGCTATTTCCTTGTTTCAATTCTGTACCACCTTTTCCACTAAGAAATTTTTCCTAACATCCAATCTAAACCTCCCCTGGTGCAACTTGAGGACATTTACTGTTATCTTAAGCAAGTCCTAAAGACTTAGGCCACAATGTCTTAGGATTCTGTTTTCTTCCTTCATTATTAAGGTTTCTTTGTCCTCCCCACCTTCTTTCTCTATCCACCACATCTTCCATTCAGCAAAAAAATCATCATTTGTTTTATTTTTTCTGACTAATTAAACCCCCTGACAGAAGATGGTCAGATGCTTCAGGATTTGAGCCTTGTAAGGGAAATTTCTTTAAAGAAGAAAAATTGGGGAAATCAAGGTTGGTTTAAAAAATAAAGATGCTACCCAAAGAAAAATGTCAAGGTAAAAGAAGGAACAGTCCTATGGGATTTTCACAGCACCACAGCTGAGGAAAAAACAAGTTGTTTGCAGAAGAAAAAAATGGTTAATTGCAGGCCAGGAATAGGATCTATACCTGCCTGGACTGGAAGTGGTCCCAGAGAGGAACTGCTGACAGGGGCCACCCAAAAAAAACCCCTGAAACACAGGAAAAGCTGTGCCTGTTTGGAGCTGGAAATAAAACTTTTCCCTGGGCCAGTCAGGAACAGAGCAGGTCGTTCTGAGTCGCAAGGGCTGTGATTCTGTCACCAGGCATGACAGGGGAGGAGGGAGGCAATCAATGACATCAGCCAGGATGGAAATAACAAGCGCTGCTGCCTGGGGCCACTCGCTGTCCTGCCACCTCATCGCTCTGCCCGGCAGGGCAGAAGGACGCTCCTCCTTCCCTTTACAATTTCACCTTGCTTCCTTCTTTTTCCTTCTCTTCCTTTCTCCCTAATTTTTTGCTCTCCTTTGTCTTCTCTGTCTCCTTTCCTTTGGCTATTTCCCACGGCATATTCTGCCTTTTCTTCTTGCTCTTAATGCATTTTTTCCAGCTCTCCCCCTTTCAAATTCTCTGCATTTCTCCCTTTCCTTCTCTGCCTTTCTGCAGAACGCTGTGAAAAGCGACTCGATTTGAGTTGTGCTTTTTCCATTACCCTGCTCTGGCTCCAGGGTCAAACAGGCTCCAATTAGAACAAAGTATTTCTTAATGCTGTGCAGTTTGCCCCAGACCTTACAACCAAGCTGTTCTTTCTGCTTTTTCCATACTTTATTACAAGAAAGGCTTGAACAA